TGTAAAGACGTCATCGTCTCCCAGCTCTGTCTCGTTCTGTAGAGTGGATGAGGAGGTGGTGGAACCTGCAGAGAACAAAACAGAGTATACTGCGCCTTTATAAACACATTAACACACATTTATACATTTAACTACAAACATATAAACACATTTATACAAATTTGTACATTTTCCATACCATTATAAAACATTAATACACATTCATGCCTTATACTACACTTATAACATATTAATACACATTTCTACATTGTATTACCCTTTATAAACACATTCATACACTATATTGCATATTTTTATAACATTAATATACATTCATACACTATACTGTACCGTTTATAAAACATTAATACACATTCATGTGATACTACACCTTTATAAAACATTAACACATTCATGCATTATACTACACTTATAACACATTAATACACAATCATACACTATATTGCATCTTTATATAACCATTCACATGATACTACACCTCTATAAAACAAGAACACAGTCATACACTATACAGCACCATTATAAAACATTAACACATTCATGCATTACACTACACTTATAACACATGAATACACATTCCTACACTATACTACCCTTTATAAACTCATTCATACACTATACTGCATATTTTTATAACATTAATATACATTCAGACACTATACTGTATCCTTATAAAACATTAATACACATCCACATGATGCTACATCTTTATAAAACTTTAACAGTCATACAGTATACAGCACCATTATAAAACACATTCATGCATTATACTACACTTATAACACATTAATGCACATTCCTCCATTATACTACTCTTTATAAACACATTCATACACAATCACTTTACTGTACCTGTATAAAACATTAACAGGCATTCATACTAGGGGTGGGTGATACGGCAAAAATATCACGATACTCGAAGACGTTTTCAGGAAACACAATACGTATGACTGTATTTTGTTTTTCTGAAGTTTGATTGATGACTCCTCACTCACCATCAGTCAGGTCCTCAATGGCTTTCCTGACCCCGCGGTCAAAGGCTCTGGCGTCTGCCGGACTCTGGAAGGTCAGGCCGCACTTCTTATTGTCCACGCGCCAGTGGTGAAAGGTGGGCGTGGCCTTAGTGTAGACCAGGTCCTTCTTGAGGAAGCACTTCAGGATCACCTACACAGCACAGGTCAGAGTAAGAGGAATGCTCTCCACTGCCTGCACAATTGACCTCTCCAGGCTCCACCCACAAATAAGTTCTTTACCAAGCAACTGTTGCTAAGTTAGACAAGCTTTACAGAACACTGGCAAAATCCCATTCAGCCTCATGAGAAACTGCAGCACACAACTCGACAAAACACATACAGCTTTAAAACAGAATGTTACTCAATTGTAGTTTTCGTCATGTAATTGAGTTTTTTGATGGGTTAAACATCTGATTGATGTGTTAATCATGGGATTCAACTGTTTTAACGCTGCTAGCCTGAAATTTTGGGCCAAACCTGAATACAGCTGGAGAATTTTCTGTCTAAGCCCGATCTGACACGACACACAGCACCAACTTTTGAGTCCGAAACTGACCCGAGCCCAACAATGCTCTGTCCGCAACTGGCCCAAACCGGCCCATCAACTTCCAAAGTGCTGAATAAAACCCGATATTTTGGTGATAAATGATTGATAGGCTAGGTGAAGTCACTCGCTTCAACTGTTGTAATGTTGCTTGCTAGCTATTTAACATTAGCCATGTTTACATGCAGCCTGATAATCTGCTAATAATCCAACTAATAGCTCAATTGGAATAGAATACGTCCATGTAAACACCTCAATCGGAATAGACTAATCCGACTGAATTTCTGTCCGACTGAACGAGGTGGGTAATCCTGTAAATAATCCGTTAAATAGAAGAATAATAACCGTGTAAACGCTTGTATCTGATTACATTCCCTATCAGAAAGTTTAAGTCCGTTCTGATCATGTTCGTCACGTCATAGCGGAAGTTTATAACTGTTCAACATGGCGGAGCAGAAACTGGTCTGCAGAGGAGACGAAGTTTATGCTCTGATCTTTAAAAGACGGCGGTGGGACGGACCTCCAGCTTATGTGTCTCAGAACGTGACGTCTTCCTCTCGGCCTTCTTTAATAAGGACATGTGAAGGACGTTTTCCTGAGTCTGACATCATTTTAAAGTAATTAAAAACAAAAGCACTGCTCACTGCTGCTCGTCTCACTCTGACTGGACTCACGTGATGCTCGCTGTCATGATAACGTCTACACTAAGTGGTTCTGTACGTATGTGAGTAATTTTGAATCAGATTATTTGTAGTGTGATGTAAACAGAGATTTTCCATCATATTGTTGAGTAGAGTGAGCAGACAAATACCTCAGTCTTAACCTATAATTGGTGTGTATTCAATCAGAATGGCAAAAATCATTGCATGTAAACGTAGCCATTGTAACCTACATGGCTGCTACTGTAGCACAGCTGAAGTTACTCTGTGCCAAGGGTGTAGTGTGGGCCTGTTTAAGCCTGAGGCTACCTAGATTGATCACAGGCCTGTCCAATCAAATGGGGAAAGAATATTTATTAAGCTAAATTTTTAAGATCATGAAATTTTGATCATTATACTCTCTGCCAAGCTCCACCTTCTTTTCTCAGCCCCCCAATCACTGCTCAGCAACCGGTGCTATCTGGTATTTCCAAATGAAGTCAAAAAATGAAAAACAACACGATTTGCTTTTGACGATTTGTAGGTGGAGCACAGACAGGTCAGTTGGGTTTATTTGGATATGAAAAGAGAAAACTGAACCCAGGTCACAAGATGTTCTAACCACATACTGCCTTGATTACACAAGGTTTGGTGGATTTCAGTTGAGTTTGGCAGCATTGTGCCAAGTGCCTGGGGACATCATTTGTTTGTAGACTGTAGATGCCTTAGGCCAGCACTAACTAAAGTCAGATCTGGGTTAAAATCAAGTTTACAGCTTCCCCCTTAACCCAAATATAGTTGATCTACCAAGACATGTTTGGTGTCTGAAGTTTTGCACTGGAGCTATGAGGCTGATGTAGCTAACAAGTAATGAAAGCTTACCCCTCAACAATTAGCACCGCATCTCAGATAGACTTTACTTTTCCCCCCAAGGTCCAAACAATGTTTCTGTGGTGTTAAATACCAAAACAGTCGTAATTCATTTTTACATGACCACTTTCCAGACTCTCTTCATCCCTTAGAACTAAACAGGCTGATTTTGTTTCTGTGCCTTTAAGACTGATATATGTAAATTGCCTCTGTTCTGACTGGCTGCCTTATATTGTGCCTCGTTCAAAAAGCAATCCGAGCTGAAACACCACTTATAGCTTCGGCATGAATGGGCGGGGCTAAAGCTGTACAGCCGAATATATATATCAATGTGCTGGTTTTTGTGACAACACAAAAACAGTAAAATTTAAAACAGGCTTTTTGAAGTTTCCATATATAGACTGTAGGGACTGGAGTGAACAGGGCATTTTGAGACCTTAACAATGTTTACACACTATTTATATAAAAAAACAGTAAGGTTAATGTATCTTTTCATGATATTGGCACTTTAACAGCTAAAGTTAAACTGTTAAAGATGTAAATATGCCATTTGCACTAGTGCTTCTCCTTAGTGCTTCCATTACTTGTTAGCTACATTAGCCTCGTAACTCTAGTGCAAAACATGAGAAGCAGACTTCAGACACCAAACATGTCTCAGCTGATCGACTACAGTTTGGGGTAAGGAAGAGCTCGCTTTAAACGTGACAACAGATAAACAAATAAACACGCACCTGTTTGTCTCGGAGTCTCTCTCCGTAAATGAGGAAGCCGCTTCGGCCGATGAGCTCCAGGTCAGCCGGAGCCACTTTACACACTCCGACTCGGCTGAGCCCGCCGCCCTCCTGAGCCAACCACCCACCGCTCGAGTCATCCCGCGTCATCACCACGGCCTTCACTCGCACTATATAACTATCACTGCAGAGAGAGAGAAGCAAAAATAGATTCAGAGTCGGAAAGTATAATAAACCTGCAAAAAGTAACCAAAAAAAAAAACAAATAACCAAATAAAATCACACGGTTTACTGTATATGGACCATTGCTGACATACGGTTTAAGTTACTGAAATAGGTAATGCATCACTACACAAAATATATCACAATTTTACCTTTCAGTTTTCTTGCTTTTGGCTACATTTGTCACAATCATGAAATATTCTCATATTAATAATTTAAATGTCTTTTTTGTTCATTTAATGCAACTATTAAAGTATAAACCTAAAATGGTCAAACTGGCTGATTAGCAATGATTAAAATTTTTTTCCCGAAACTAAAATTCAGGACACGCAAGAAAACCAAAAGACAAGTTTCTTTTATGTATAATTCCCCATTTTATTTATGCTTTTGAATTAAATAAAGTTGACAGTGCTCCAAAGCCGATAATCACCATGCTGGAAAAGAGAACTGAGAGAACTCATTTAATTTTGAACAGCTTTCTAAATAATGTAAAACTAAAGTTGTAAAATTATAAAAAAATATTACTCAAATACTCAGGCCAACTGCACAGAAATGCACCAAACTGACCTTCTGTTTGTTGTGAATTATACAGACAACTGTGAGAGCTAACAACTGTGGACAATAACTGCGGTCAGCTCAAAAAATTAGGATAAGCTCAAATAATTGTGATCATGCAATAATGTAATAATTGACTTTTTATGTCACATTTTATTCATGTGGAAATAATGCACACATCTGAATGAAGTAAATTCAGTGCATCACTTTTTTTCAGTGGCAGCCTTACGAACCTGTCTGGATAGCAATGGATAGATAAAGTGTATGTATGACATTAGTTAAAAAAGGTGAAAGACAGGAAGAGAGACAGACAGATAGGTGAGAAAGAGACATCATTCATTACTCAGCCATACTCAGGGACTTTTATCCATCACACATAAGAAGAGTCACTTTGGGAACTGCTGAAGCTAGGCCTTGGCGATACTGAAAATGAATTAGCACAAAATTTTCTAGTTAAAAAATTTGATTATCAATTATATAATTATTATATATATTTATTTTTTTGAACATTTACTGTTTTAATGAAAATCTTTGCAAAACCACATATAATATACTGAGAAACCCAACATCTTTTGAAAACTACTTGTCGTTGCAATAAATGTACATTCGTGAGCTTCTTCTGGTGTAGATTCATGGCAGCTCGCGTGTTAATAGCGCTCCCTGCTGGAGGAACTTAAGACTGTGCGTGGTTTCTAATGCCATGTTAAAAACCAGTTGTTTTCTGTTGTTATAGCAGAGTTTTCATAATTCGTCTAACCATCGGGACACTTATAGAAAATATAAGCTGTATAGAAAATACTGCAAATTTTACTTGGTATAACCACAAACAGCAGAAACAGTAGGGAATTTACTCTACCACAGCATTTTAAAGCCCCACTCAGCATTTTAAAGCCCCACTCAGTTTTAACAATAAAACATTGTGTATGTATTATTTAACATTATTTATTGGCTTTTTCTGATCCATTTCCTGATTGTAGATGGAACCAGAGGAACTTTCTCTCCAGGTCTAGAACTAGCTGATTCGGGAAAACCTAGCGAGTCGCACCGTAGCAAGCTGAAGGTCTAAAGCACATCAGTATTTATTTTTGTTTGGATGCACTCAAGCTAAACTTTATATATAGTAAAATGTATAGAAGGTGAAGAGATGTGTGCTAAAGCATTACAGAGCGTAGCAGAGAAAACTAACAGACAGCTTCTTAACAAACCTCTCCCTCTCTCTCTCTGTTGGTGTGTGTGCCCGCATACTTCTTAAACGGGAACCACAATTTCCCAACATATTTACAAGCTGTTTAACGGCAAATTAGCTTCTCTAACTCTCTCAGTTCTTTTCCCAAACAGCAATTTTTACACATCGGCATCGGATTACTTGTCCATTGTCGACAATATCCGATTACATCGCCCTATCGCCCAGGCCTAGCTCGAGAATCAGAGTGTACAGAGTCTAATGCAAAGATCACATTAACAGCTGTCCTCTGCGCAAACACAGTCTAATCTAACTGTGGGAAAAGTGACCAATCACAGCCTCGGAGCTGTTAGGCAAACTCTGACCTCCTCGAGCCGTTTCCCTTCAGACGTGCTGGGTTTGCATAGACATGCAGCCAAAGGCATAAGCATGAAAATATCAACCAAATCTCCTTCCAGCACGGAGCACCAGCTGTCAAACACCAGAACTTACAATACGATAATTTTTTTCTTATTTTTCTTCAATTCTGTAACTTGATCATTTTATCCCATTCAACAGAACAGATAAACTAATTATACATGATAATGGATGAACTGAAAACAGATTACACTCAACTTCATCTTTAGTTTCACCTGATAAACCTTAGCGGTTTTAGTGCTTGATCTGATATGTTAGGACTTCAGTTCAACTCCTGAAGTCCTAACCAATAAGAGAGCTTGGCTGTATCTACTTAGACACCACAGGGAAAAATACTGATTGGATAATTTTCCATTGGGAAATAAGCCATTTTGTTTCCAGCCAAATCTTTATAGTAAAATAAGAATATTACTGCAATACTTGTAGAGTTTAAATACAACAAACATGATGATTATATTAAAGAAAATAAAAAATACAGATGTTTTTTTATTTCACATCTCAGAAGGCCTAAGAAGGTCTTTATTGTTCCAAACTGCTGAAAAGAAAAACACTGAAAATCTCTGAAAGCCATTAATTATATGCACAATTTAGTTACTTGTCTTTTTTTTTACCTTTGATCCTGCAAAATCTAAGCAACCAATTAAGTCAATTGGCACAGTCTTAGTAATGGAGGTCCCTGCAATTCAGACTTCAGTGAATAAACGCATTAAAATCTCTCTGTTCAAATGTGGTTCCCAACAAGCGTGTAACCCTACATGACCCCTATTGACCTCTGGGCCTTCTGGGCCTGCTTCAGGGTCATCTTCCTGACCTCTCTTGGCTGTTGCTAATAGCGACACGCAGGTAATGAGGGCTGTGATACAAAAGAGAATCAGTCACTGGAAGAGGAAGACACTCGTTACGCAAATGTAACCCCATGCTTGGCAGGAGCGTGGGAAACACTTTTAACTGAACGTCCCATTTTCATGTCTGACGTCGGGGAGCAGATCAAAGTGATGCACCTGAACAGTTCAGCTCCTGATTAGGTGGTCCAGTGTTTACAGTGGAATGATAAGAACATTTCTTATTTCTTAATAAAGAAATCACTGTTTTCAGTGTGGGATCTCTAGGGTTTTTTTTAAACACATCAAAAAATTCCTAATTCTGGTGCCTTTTCCTGTTAAAATATGCCTTAAAAATAACATTTCAACATTCTATTTTTATAATCAACCAATAAATGCTTTAAACACCAGGAATCCACTTCCTACTGATATGGATACCGATACTGATACTTGATCCATAACTATCGTATAAGTTGTGATTTTTATACAATTCCACTTAAATACAAATCCAATTTAATATTTTATTTTGGGAAAGCTGTGAAGAGGTGTCTGAACTGTTGATTTTTATCTTGCTTGTTTTGGCTGCTGCCTCATAATTTAACACCATCATGAGATTCATTACTGCTCTCTGACTGGACACACCTTAGTGTGTTCCTGGCTATAACAATAAAATTTTATATAGAAGTGAAAGGGAGCAGATAACAATGTTTTTTTTTTTCGTTGGTCAGTATGTTTGTAGTCCATCCCCTCTGCTGATGTACATGAAATAACCAATCATCGACTGATATTTTGCATCATAACTTTCAGATAAAATATCAGACAAATTATTAACAGTAAGCTTTGATTGGGAACTAAATCTCAGTCAAGGCCAGTATCGTAATAATAGCTTTCATTTAGGTTCTAACATCAGGCTAAGACTGGAATATTAAACATCAGTTAGGTTTCGACATGCATCACAAATAAAACGTATTAAGCTAAGCTTGAATGAATGGAATTCACTTGCTGGGTTAGTATATGTGTATATATGTATGTACGTACATATATACAAACATTTATGTCCCCATCGCCAATACCGATACGAGTTTAAGTACGTTATACGTTCACGGCACTTCACACTTTGCTTCATTAAAGATAATATATCCTCTCTGGCTTCATGCACACACTTTACAACAGAGTAAAACAACTATCCACTGTTTCCCTATGAAAACATTTACCAAGATTTACGAAATCTGAACCGGAACATCGTCGGGTCCCAACCTTTACTCCTGGAATGGGGTTCTGGTGCGTTCCGGCTCTTTTCCACCCCTGGTTATGTCATTTTTAGGAAGAAAAACTATCGTTTATCAGTGGCAGTAATGCTAACCCATCAGCACTCAGTGGCAGTAACGCTAACCAATCAGCACTCAGTGGCAGTAATACCAACCAATCAGCACTCAGTAGCAGTAATGCCAACCTATCAGCACTGAGTAGTAGTAGTTCTAACCAATCAGCACTGAGTAGCAGTAATACCAACAACTCAGCACTCAGTAGCAGTAACACCGACCAATCATCACTCAGTAGCAGTTACGCCAACCAATTAGCACTCAGCAGCAGTAATAACAATCAATCTGCACAAAGTAGCAGTAGCCCAACCAATCAGGATTCAGTAGCAGTAATGCTAATCAATCAGTGCTCAGTAGCAGTAATGCCAACCAATCAGCACTCAGTAGCAATAATGCCAACCAATCATCACTCAGTAGCAGTAACACCAACCAATCAGCACTCAGTAGCAGTAACACCAACCAATCAGCACTCAGTAGCAGTAATACCAACCACTCAGCACTCAGTAGCAGTAGGGCTGGGCGATAAAACGATAACGATAAGTATCGTGATATAACTTTTCCTCGATAGAGCGATACGACAGGTTCCATAAATGTTGGATATAATACACCACTCTCACACTTCCACGTTTTAGCGAAAGCCCTGGTGGCGTTTTCTACTGCAAGG